AGTAACTTATTTTATTTCCATCTTTTTATCAATAAAAGATTATTTACTTTGAAACTTGCTAATTTACTTCTAAGGCTTAGCCAAAGATGCTGTCCTTTTTTTCTCTATCAAGTCGTATATCTTTTCACAAGTTTTGGTCCCAGAACTTATTTTAAGAGATATTCCTATAATAATAGTAGTAATGATGCATATACCTAATGGTTCTCTAGAAAACAATTTGTGCTAAAAACAAAAGTATTGAAATTTAAAGTAATTATATATATATATTTTTTCTTTTCCTTTTCTTCGTTTTTCTAAACTAGTAAAAAGAGAGAGCAGCAAGAATTTGTTTGTTCCCTGAGAGGAAATTTTCATCATTCGACAATGGTACTTCAAACATGGTTGGCTGGGTTAATAATCTGAATGACTGGCATGAGAGGTGGATTAGGATCTGCTTTGTGGTTGAGAGTATCTGAGGAGTATTCTGTGGGATAGGTAGCCATTGAGCCCTGATACTAAGATGAAGAGGAAAACAAAGAATCAAGAAGGCTGCAAATTTTCTGTTTATGAATTGATTTGATGATGATTTGTACATTGATATATATAGAAGGAATTACAAGGAAAGAATCACTCCAGAGTGACAGCCAGCTAACGGATATTCTAAACCCCTCTACAAATAGTCAAAATAGCAAAAACAAACTTTATGATTCTAGCTGCAATAATCCATCCCATTTCTAAGTGATATAGCCATTCTCAAAAGCTATAATTAGCAGATTCTAACCATCTTTAACTCTTAACATGACTTGATGTTCGATAATATAAAATAAGTCTTTGCGACAATTATAAATGGTAATTATTTCTTTTATAAACTTCAAAATCTTTGGTGATTAATTAATGACAGTAGATAGAAAGATATACCCATAATATTGATTTTCTAAATTGTTTAAGCTAATAAACTATTTTATTTAACACTGGGATCATTTTGAATATTTTTTGAAGGAAAAAGATTTAGACACAAACTGAATAATTCAACAAAGAAAGTAAACGGGCAAAATGATTTTATAATAAGATGTTGAAATTTTAATTTAATTTAAAGATAAATAATATTTTTGTGCTCCTTTGTTCATGCAATTTGTTATCCTTCATTATTATTTGACACTTGTAAATACGTGACTTGCAATGTTTCATAAGAAATTATTTAATAGTCATCATTTATTCAATGACTTGATTTGACTTTTCTTGTCAAATGAAAGCTATTCAAAGAATAGTTTCTTATTAATTTCTGAAAGAAATTTATTTGGTGAGAAAGCGAAAGAAAAAACCATTACTTGGAAATATTTTTAATGGTATAAATTTATTGATACATCATACAAGATATGGCACCGTAAAGCACCTATTCGAATGCTAGAGTCAAATCAACTGATGCAACCAGTGATGACGTAGTATTAAAGGTTGTCAATGTTTGTTTTAGTTTTCCTCTTCCTTTCTCTGATTTTATGTTTGTATTAAATAGTATAAATTGATAATTACAGACTTACAGTATATGTTAATAAATAATTGTTTGTGTTATATTTATGTTTGTATTTCTATTAATATTTGTTTGACTACCTTGTACATTCTAATAAAATTCTAAATTCATGAGAATTTTGATTTTGTGTAGGAATTTGTAAAATAGCAATAAAATAATGAGTATGGCATAGGGGTAGTTATAATGTGAAAGTCGAACCTCTAAAACTCTTTAGTCTCTTTATTATAGTGTAGATACAGGTATATTTCTTGTATAGGATTGGCCTATTGTAGCGCTTTCTAAGTGAGTCTCTTTCACTTTTCTTTTGGTTAAGAATCAATGAAATTCCTTTTATGTCTACCCATATTATTCAGATATGTGCGTCATTTGCAAATGTCAACCAATGACATTTGTATCCATCATCAAATGATGTTCAATTTATTATTTGACCTCTCTAGCAAATGCATTGTCTTTTATGTGTTCGCTATTGATGAATAAAGCAGGTCTTCTCTTTTTTTCCTCATAAGTTACATAAATTTTATGATTTGTTTTAACATTTTTGAGGATGTTACTTGAATAGAATTGTAGTAAGCACGGCATAATCTCTACTTTTCTTCCGTGAAGTTGCCCCATTAAAATTGTATTTCAAAAGGTTTCAGTAGGATTTGAGTATTATAAAATACTGTAGCATGAAACTATAGTTGATTGTTGAATTATTGATTAATAATGCATGGTACTTGATGGTGCACAGATGAATTTGAACCCAATTTTACTGACGGCTATTTCAGGGATACCTTGATGAGCATTGGTAAGCATTACGAAACTGGAGAGAGTATTCCGGAGGAAATATATAAAAAGCTTCTTGCTGCTAGGACCTTCCGTGCTGGCTCCCAGAGTCTTCGTCAGGTCTATGTAGCTTTTTTTAACCTTGTTCCCTTGCAGTCTTTTGTTTTGTGATGTATACCTCTATTACATCCTCTAATTTTATTCTGACTAGCTGTATTCGTCCCCTCTTTTGTTCACAAATGCTAGTGCATTCTATTTTTACCCTTAATATGATCGAGATTCTCTTGCAGGATGTCAGGTTAAGTTCATAAGGCGAGTGTTTCGGAACACGTGTTCTGGATATATTTGGTACTATAGGTGCAACCTTGTTTGCAAAGTATTTTGTCTTTGGTTTCTAGTGAAGGGTAACATGTAACTTACATTAGAAGCAATTGCTTTTTTCCTTTACCTAGCTGCAGCTGGATAAAAATGAGAAAGAAAGAGTTTCCACATATATTTTGGTTTCCTGCCTTTCAAGTACTGTGGTTCTCGTTCTCGTCAATGTTTGGTTTTTGTTGGGGAGATGGGGGAGGGAGTGGAACCAGTATCTGAATGAAGCCTGTACGTAGATCTTTGACTGCCAATGATTGATAATACTCCCACTATTAACCGACATTATCACAATTGGCCAGAAAATTTCTTCTTCCTCCTAAACGATTGAGATGACCTAGACATACGCTTCATATTGGAAATTGAAAATGTTGCAAAGCAAATTGTTGACTACTTAATCTAAAAGTTTAAGCTATTAGAGAGTCACATATATATCATTTAAATTTTGTCTTCAACACATTCCCTCACGGGTAGCAATTCACCTTTTGCCAGTTTTGATACTATGTTGAACCGCTCAATTTAAAAGCATAAGCTTGTTATTCTACGTGTAATACTCTTTTTTTTTTCCCGGAAGGGGGGAATAGTTAAAAGTGCTTCAATATTTAGGCTTTATTTAATATTTTCCACTCATATTGGCGTATTCTTATGTTTCGTTTCTTTATTTTATTATTTTCTTTGCCTGATGTCGCTGTCTATATCACATTATGATGTGGATGTTATAGCTTTGTGATGGAACAAAAAGTTCTTATTAGTTTCCATCTCTTGCGTAATGCAGATTAAATTGGCATCTCTCGATCTTGAATTGCACACCAAGTATGTGCCAGGTGGTTCAGAGTCAATCTATGATGTTGACAAAAGGGTTAGTAAAAGAACGCAGATACTTCCTCCACTTCCGGAGGATAAGTTCCTATGCAGTTTCAGTCATATATTTGCAGGTGGATATGCTGCTGGATACTACAGTTACAAGGTATTTGGTTATGAGAAATTGCTGCCTGATTGGTTTTTGCATTTAAGCCCTTGTTTGATCTTCATTATTATCAAAATACATTTTTGTCAATCTTATTTTCAATCACACGTTCAATAAAATAATATTACACGCAATTCCAAAACTTTTCCTTATTTATTGACCACACATTCTCCGTCAAAATAATATTCCAAAATACATTTTCATGGAAAAAATGGGACTCAAACAGGCTCTGAAGTTAGAAAATCTATATAATAGGATGAAAGACTACTAAATAGTAGATAACGTCCAAATTTATGCAGTGGGCAGAGGTGCTATCTGCTGATGCTTTCTCAGCATTTGAGGATGCTGGATTAGATGATGACAAGGTACAGTGCAGTTTGAAAAGATTGTGAGAACAATGATTCAGTATAATTTTCTTTCGTCAAAACGGGCTCTCATATATTAGCAATGATTGATGAGTTGAAACAGGCTGTGAAAGAAACAGGACATAGATTCCGAGAAACCGTACTTGCTCTTGGAGGTGGAAAAGCACCTTTTGAGGTTGAACTGCTTGATGCTATTTCCTTTTTCATTATCAAGTTTCACCAATTTCATTTGTTGGATTTTGTCTGAATTTAATATTTTCTTCTAATTGTGCTGAAATTGTGATTCAGGTTTTTGTTGAGTTCCGAGGGCGGGAACCCTCTCCAGAGCCACTGCTTCGGCACAATGGGTTGTTGCAAGTTGCAGCAGTTTAGGTGCTTTAATTTCACAGTCAAAAGTGTACTACACCAGAAGAAAATTTTAGGCCATAACTGCAAGGAAAACTGACCGGCTATATTTGGGTGATCTTGGCAAATTAAACATTAGCTGTAGAATCTGTCTAGGACTTGATTTTGGTACTAGTCCATAATGATCGAAGTCGACTCGTGTTTCGAGCAAATTCAGGAAAACTTCTGGTACCCATACCAGAGAAGTGTCCATAAGCCATTGTTATGTATTGTGGTGTTCTAAAATCAATTTAGAGCATTAATAAAGTGGACTTCTCTTTTTATGCTTTTAATCTGCCTTCTCAATCAAAATTCTGGAAACCATTGTTTGTAAGCTAAAAATATTGATAAAAATTTAACTCAAAGTTAATAAATAATTTTAACTACACACTTTTTGTGAATTCACAATTTTTAACCACACATTTAATGATTATTTATAAAGAAAAATCTATTCAAAATTTAGGTTGGCCAGCATGGGTTTCATGCAAGGTGGCCCATATCAATCATGGGCTTGGCTTCTCATATGTGGGCCTCTGTGAGCCCAATACTGTTTTAAACTTCATCCAGCGTAAAAATCTAAAATCTGCAGAACTGCCATAGCGATTTCAAGATAACAACACTTCGAAACACCATAGCCAAAATCATGAGCACCAAGCTCTCCCTCTTCGGAACAACACCCTTTTCTTTTCATACAGAATTACCATCAACTTCTTCGAAAATACCGGTTATATCCCATTCCCCTCTTATCCTACCCTCCAACCACTCTCATACCCTCAGACCCAAAAAATCAACTGGTAGATATACATTTTCCCGAATGTCATCTATTTTTTCATACTGCTTTTACTACAAGTACAGAAAACTAAAGGGTTAGATTTACTCATTTTTTATAATGAATTCAGGTGTCTTGGCAAGTTGTGTTACTGCAGCAAAAGCAGAGGTTGAAGTTGAAGTTGCAGAGGGGTACACAGTGACGCAGTTTTGTGATAAAATAATTGATGTGTTCTTGAATGAGAAACCCAAGTCTAGAGATTGGAAAAGATTCTTGGTTTTAAGAGAGGAGTGGAAGAAATACAGCGAAAGCTTTTACAGTCGGTGTAAAAACCGTGCCAATGCAGACAATGATTCTGGAATGAAACAAAAGTTAATTGAATTATCAAGAAAAGTTAAAAAGGTATTAGTGCATCATTTCCTTTTTTACTGTTTGCAGTGATTTTTTCATCTCATGTTTCTATATGAGACTAGCTAATCTACTTTGTTGCCTTGAAAAGTAATTTAGGACTCAATTAGATGCCTCTCGTGACTTTAAATATGATATATTTTCAACTCTCCCCTAAACAATCCTGATCGGATATAATAGAAGTCATTCAATTTGAAATGGAGATAACTAAGAAATGTGGGCTAATAAGTTTTGGGGTTAGAATTAGTCACAGATTCACACTTTTGGAGCAATTTCATAATTCTGGTTTGATAATGATCATTGCAGATTGATGATGGATGGGGATGGGGATGGGGTGGGGATGGGGATGGGGATGGGTGTAATTTCCACTTTAAACTTCATCCAGCATAAAAATCTAAAATCTGCAGAACTGTCATAGCGATTTCAAGATAACACTTCGAAACACCATAGCCAAAACCATGAGCACCAAGCTCTCCCTCTTCGGAACAACGCCCTTTTCTTTCCATACTGAATTACCATCAACTTCTTCGAAAATACCGGTTATATGCCCTTACCCTCTTATCCTACCCTCCAACCACTCTCATACCCTCAGACCCAAAAAATCAACTGGTAAATATACATTTTCCCGAATGTCATCTATTTTTCCATGCTGCTTTTACTACAAGTATAGAAATTAAACGGTTAGATTTACTCATTTTTTTTTAATGAATTCAGGGGTCTTGGCAAGTTGTGTTACTGCAGCACAAGCAGAGGTTGAAGTTGAAGTTGCAGAGGGGTACACAGTGACGCAGTTTTGTGACAAAATAATTGATTTGTTCTTGAATGAGAAACCCAAGTCTAGAGATTGGAAAAGATTCTTGGTTTTAAGAGAGGAGTGGAAGAAATACAGCGAAAGCTTTTACAGTCGGTGTACAAACCGTGCCAATGCAGAGAATGATTCTGGAATGAAACAAAAGTTAATTGAATTATCAAGAAAAGTTAAAAAGGTATTAGTGCATCATTTCCTTTTTTACTGTTCGCAGTGATTTTTTCATCTCATGTTTCTATATGAGACTAGCTATCTACTTTGTTGCCTTGAAAAGTAATTTAGGACTCAATTAGATGCCTCTCGTGACTTTAAATATGATATATTTTCAACTCTCCCCTAAACAATGCTGATGGGATATAATATAAGTCATTCAATTTGAAATGGAGATAACTAAGAAATGTGGGCTAATAAGTTTTGGGGTTAGAATTAGTCACAGATTCACACTTTTGGAGCAATTTCATAATTCTGGTTTGATAATGATCATTGCAGATTGATGATGAGATGGAAAGGCATACTGAGCTTCTTAAAGAGTTGCAAGATAATCCTACTGATGTAAATGCAATTGTAGCAAAGCGACGCAGGGACTTCACGGGCGAATTCTTTCGTCATCTCACTTTGCTCTCGGAAACCCATGATAGCTTGGAGGATCGAGATGGTATTGTGTTGTTCCAGCTGTCATATCCATCCCAAGTGTGGGGTCAAAGTTTTATATTCCTATAGTGATCCATCATTAAATTGACTTTTATTATTAAAGAAAACAGATTGATTGTTAGATAGTTGCCATATACCTACTAAATGAAGTACATCTTACTTAACTTGCAGCAGTTGATGTAAGATTACAATAAGAATGGAGAAGGTGTTGCACGGCTATACCTTTGGTGCTTTTGATTTTTGTAGAATTCTTTGAGTATCTTATAAACAAAATGTATATGCTGAACTGATATTTCTGAACTTATTTGGGAGAACCCTTAAGATTTTCTAGAGAGAGCAAAATACTTGGCCACAGCCAAAAGCTTGTTTGGAGTTTTAGAATGAAGAATTGCCATAGCTGATTCTTAAACAGGTTTTTGTTCTTCTACTATTTATATTACGTAGCATCAAACCTTTAACTCACTAAGTTTGCTTTTTTATTCAAATATGTAAACAAATCTTTGAAGGATGAGAAAAGATAACTGGGATTTAGGAATGCAACATGAGTACATTCCGATTAGAAGCATAGCATGTTCAAGCACCATCTTTGACTGTTGTTAAGATATGGCATTCCTAGTTATCTCTTCAATGTAACCAAGTCTTGTACTCTTTCCACATGATTCCTCATACATATTAGTAGGGGTGTTAGCAATTACTCAAATGACAGTGTGTGTTTTTTCATTAGCAGTTACTTTAACTGTTGATTAAGTTATCTGATTTTATTTGAAAAGGAAATTTGCACTGTTTTATTTTTGGTTGAGCAGCTGTTGCCCGACTTGGGGCTAGATGTTTATCAGCAGTTAGTGCTTTTGACAATACGCTAGAGATCGTGGGTTCATTAGATGCTGCCCAGGCAAAGTTTGAAGACATCTTGAACTCTTCCTCAATAGATGCGGCATGTGAGAAGATCAAAAGTCTTGCCAAGGCAAAAGAACTTGACTCTTCCTTGATCCTGTTGATAAATGGTGCTTGGGCATCAGCAAAGGAGTCAAATACCATGAAAAATGAGGTAAAACTGTCTATCATGTTTGATTGGATGACACAGAAATCTTATTCCAATTTAACATAAGTAAATGCAAATGGAAGTGGGACGATGACTACATATGGAATGTAGAACTTAGTGCTGTTGTTTGAAATTCTGTCTTCTTTGATTTTTCATATTTTCACGTAAAAGTTATGTTTTTTAATGGTAACTTTTAGGTGAAGAAACTTTTAACGTGTCTTTTGCATTCTGGATTTGAAATTATCTTAGGTTTTTGAGATTCAAGAAATATTTTCTTGCAGTCCCAAATATGAAGTATGCAGAGGGAATAATCCAAAATGAATTGAATATGACATATTTACACTAAGGAAGTGATCTTGGTGTTGGACCATAATCTCATGCTTGACAGCGCAATCATGTTTCACTAATTTAAGTAATTTCCACTTACACTGAATTTCTTTTCCTTGTGAAAAATATTTGGTAGAGATGCCTTAACTTACTATAGTACATCTTTGAACGTTTCCAGCATTTGATAGTAATAAAATAATATCTATCTCGTCTGAAGGTATGGTAAGATGTCACAGGATGATTTCAATCTATAACTGATGAGTAGGTGGGCCTTGAGATAGTATGGTTTCTATTTTTGCCTAAAAAAATTGAAGAATGATAAAATTTTCTAATGTTTATGTATGTTGGTAAGAAGATAACCTATGTTATTGTATAGTTTAAAAACAGCTATGTTACTTTCAATTGCTGGAAGTTTACATGTTATTTTAGCAAAATGTACAAAAGTAGTTGCTGTAAAGCAAATAAATCCTGAATGTATTGCTTCTTTCTATTGTTATTCTAACATGCTATATGCCTAAAGGGACATTTCATAAGAATCAAATTTCATGATTATATTTTATTTAAATCATAGAAATTCAAGCTCCAGAATCTACAGTCTCAAACAGGCTTGATATGTGGTTACTTTCACTGGCATTTAGCACCAATAATTTATCAACGAACAAGTTCAACTGCTTAGAAATGGAAACATCGCATCTTCTCTTGGACCACATGAATCTGTATTTTGTTTTTGCCTCTTCAAATTTCATTTTTTAAATAAAGTTTGTATTTTTCTTCTATGGTTAAGTGTAAGCAATTAATTGCAGACCAAAGACATCATGTATCGTCTGTACAAGGCCACACAGAGTAGCATGAGGAGTATTGCACCAAAAGAAATAAAGCTACTCAAGTATTTGCTCAACATCACAGATCCCGAAGAGCGATTCTCAGCATTGGCCACTGCATTCTCCCCAGGCGATGAACATGATGCCAAAGACCCAAGTGCTATTTACACGTAATAGAGCTTTACAATTAAGCAGATTGTGTATTGTCTCCCAAATAATTACATGATTATTTTCAAGTATCTACGTGAATTAACTGGAGGCCCTTCTTTTTTTCTCCTCTATTTGGTATTGCAGAACTCCAAAGGAACTGCACAAGTGGATTAAGATCATGCTTGATGCATATCATCTCAATAAAGAGGAAACTGAAATAAGGGAAGCAAAGCAAATGAACCAACCTGTTGTGATCCAGCGGCTTTTCATTCTCAAAGAAACTATTGAAGAGGAATACTTGGAACAAAATGTTAAAACAGAAAAAGATGTCGAGCCAGAAGAGTTGTGAGGTAAAACTGTTCTAATCAATTATGTTGCTGGTACTTTTTCCCAGAACTGGGGTAATAAGAATAGGTTGAAAGCTTATGTGAATCAATTGGTAGGTTTTGGCACTGCACGTAGTTTTATCCATTCAGATATGGATTTAAAATGCATAATTTAGTTGCATCAGCAATCTTCATTTTGTATAATCTGTGGGCTTGATGAACTGCAATGTACATTAAAGGCTGAGTTATTTATATAACCATAAAGAGTCGATTTCTTTAGTTCTCGTTTTTCTTGTATCCCGAGCTTAAAGAGATGTTGAAAGCTTTACATAAAGCCCCAAAACATACCAAAAGTGGAAAATTAACAAGTTGAGGTGGACTGGTCTGACAGGCAGTACTTATAGAAATCACACTCGATGATTCACCTACGGAATGACGCCCGATAGTTTCAATTCATGAACTGCAATGTGGAATATTTTTAGTAAAGAGCTGAACAAACTGAGAAAGTCGTCGAGCAATTTGATCCACAAGCAAATGCCATAAATTTGCTCTTTTTTTTTTCCTTTGTTCCAAGCATTTATTCATGGTATTTTGTAAAAAAATGTTGGATAAAAGAGTAGAAAACTAGTTTCGCGTTTATTCATGGTACATTTGATATTCTAATTTTGGTTAGAAAGTTGGAAGAGTGAGAAAAATATTGTATCGTGTGGTTTCTCAATTAATAAGGTCTTATTTTCATGTGGTTAGCGAACCACATTTAATGTGTTTTTATCTTTCGTACTTGTTTTGTATTTTCGTTTCCACTCTGCCCGGTGGGATTTTCCCCAACAACTTGAGTTTAAAAGGTTGAAGGGCTTCATTTGCATGTTTCAAAATGATGAGTGTTTCATGGGGACACCTGTGAAAATCGAAGGACTATTCCCTCTTTGGGGTGGGTGTTTCGTATCGACTCTTTCAACCGCTCAGATATCCATCTCCTTCGTGCTTCGCCGGCCCTATCTATCCTATGTTGAGATTTTAGAAAAAAAGGTGCGCTTAGGCACAAGCTCAACTTCTTCAAGGCACAGAATACCTCCTAGAATTCAATACTTTATCAAATGAAAAGGGTATCTGAGTCGAACCCACTTGGAAAACGCAAGACGACTTGCAGCAATTTGAACACAATCTTCAATAGTTCAAGGTGAAGAGACGTTGCCATATGGGCGGTGGATAAATTGGAGTCTTGTCAGCCGTAGGTAGATGATGTCTTTTAGTGTAAACAGGACAATTCATATCAGACAGAAAGCATATTATGCTGACAGCCAAAAACACAGGAAATCGGCTAGCCGAAAGGCACCGAAGAATGAATTATGTTAGCAAAAGCTTCTAGAGAGCGCAAAACCACAGTTTTCGGACAGAAAGTTCTCTTTTTGAATAATTTTATGTAAATAGTTGTATAGATATGTCTAGAAAACAAATATAGGGACGTTTAGAGAAACAACATAGACTTCTATTAAATATCTACAAGTCTAGGGACCTTTACACACATCAAGTGATAACAATATTTTAATATACAAGCATTATTCTGTAAACTTTAAATGTCTTTAATGTATTTATGGGTTGTAGAAACATGAATATGTTCACTAAGAAACAAATGTTGCTTAACGTATTTACTATAAGGGGTCAGGATATCTACAAGTATGTAGCCGCTACTTTCTCGCTAAGTATCAAAATGTTGCTCAACTCATTTACAATGAGAATCCGAAAATAATGAGATTTTAAGATTGTATGGTACTTGAAATCTACAAGCCTGAGATTGCTACTCCTGTACCATTAATTTGGAGATCGTACCTTACACAAAAGAACCAATTTTGTGCCTTCTGTCAAAAAATCTGGAACATAAATTATGAAAATCATATTATTCTTTCCAGTTTCACCTATCCTAAACCTAAATTGTCATTGAAAATATGATTCTATTGACAAACTCTATATCGAGAACCTACCAATTCCCTTCTATCCATAATTTTCTAAGGGAAAAATGAAAAACAAAATTTGTCAGTGAGAAAACCCTCAAGATTTCAAATTTCAAAAAGTAGTTTGATTTTGATGGTCCAACTAAAAAATTAACTTTCGTGTACCTCTAGAGCCTTTTACTGACTATTCCTGTTACATTTTTTTCTATTTTATTTACAGTTCCTAATTATATATTCAACGCCATAATCCTTACAGATATAAAAGAGGCAATTCGCAGGTTACTATTCGTTCAGGACGTATTTTACTTTTCCTATTTTATCCCTCTCTTTCCTCTTTTCGGAGTAAAGAATGTAGGCGGTGAAATGTCCAAAAAATTTGCCTACTGAACTTCTGCAAACCGACTTCCTCTTTCTCATAAAAAAAGTAGGCGGTTTCAAAAAAAAAAGGGTAACATAGACTTTTTCTTTGCCACATTTGTTGACTTCCGTACGAAATTAATATTATGAAACAGAAAAAGGATAATATTCATAATCCACCTACCAAATTTACAACTACAAATACATTAAATTTCTTAAATTGTCATCAAAATTTTAATTACAATACAAATTTTAATTATTCCTATTGAAAATGCTAAAATTTAATTTTTGTTTTCCCTACTATATTAAAATAGCGAAACGGTGGGAGATGAATAAACGTGAAATTCAGCAAACCAAAAAAGTATACCACGTGTAGAGGAATGGATTGGAGAATGGATGAAGAAGAATAGGAAGTGGAAGGCTGTTATTGGTAGAAATCGTGCCCACCTTCTTGAAATACCCGCTGCGCCACTTTATCATCCATTAATTTATTTTGAACTAAACTGAAACTTGCTTTTAACGTAGATATTTTACCTCGTGTGTAGCTGGAATCCGCGTTGTGAATAGTAGAGAAACAGTTGAAGGCGGTGGCTGCATTTTTCTTATTCTTTTCTTTGCATTAAAGGCAATTGAAGGCGACAGTGGAAGGCGGTGGTTGGAGAAGTATATATATATAGGAAGAAAAATTTATTATAGGAAGAAAAATTTATCATCGTCTTCTCTAACTTCGACAAATATAAGAAATTCTGAAATTATTTATTGTACTCCATTATCGTCCTTTTAAGCTTGTAGGAATGAGAAAACTGGTATTTCAGCACACAAATCTGAGATTTTCTTACGCTTAATTGCTTTTCACTGTAAGTATTTACGTAAAAGTTATGTATCGTTCTCCTAATTTTACATGTTTAGTATTTATATACAATTGTTTTGTTAAAAATTATGCTTATAGATCTTTCCATCGGGCTTTCTTCACATTATTATTATCTGCAGCACTTGTTTCTTTTATTGTTGGTCACATAATCTTTGATTGCTTGACTTACCTGTATCTACCTTCGTCATTTCTGTTCAGCCATATTCTATTAGGTTAAATGCATGTTGGTTATCTTCTTAAATAGATGTTCTATTAGTGTTAGTTCATTTTGTCTATAGAAACCAGAAAATTAGCACAGAGAAAAATGCAGTGCTTGCATTACAGTTGAAGAGTTCTGCGGAAACAAACTTCCCGAAAAATATACCTGGATTTATATTAAAGTAGAGGAAAAAAAATCGTTGTAACATAAGAACAAATAAAAGTGAAAAATGGACGAAACGTACGGGGGAGAACAGTGCGCAACATCTCCCCTTGCGCGCACGGGGACACATTAATTTTTTTTTAACAATTATTTATTACTTTTACTTATACCATTCCACCGTTCCATTACCCCAAGTTACCAACACTTCCACTCATACATTCAACCCAACCACTTGTTCATTGGGGGCGTTGCCCCCAAATCCCCACGAGGGGCGCTGCCCCCTCGACTCCCGTCGGGGGCGTTGCCTCCGAGCCCCACTTTTAACCCCCTTACTAATTATTTTTTTTATATAAAGTATTACGTGGAGTTTACAGTTTTTTTTTAACATTACTCAATTTCCAACTATTCATACAAAATCTCTTTTCGTAATTTTTACCTTTTCTTATTTATATATTTATATTTGAATTTAAATCCTCCAAACGAAGGTGGTGATTAATTCGATATTGCATGTTCATTCAGGACGCATTTTTTTTTTTTTTTTGAAAGTTTTGTTTTGTATCGAGAACTTTTACACGAAAGTTTCAATTTATGGACCCATAGAAACAGTAAAACAAACCATCATTTTCAAATGCAATCCCTTTTTGCACGAGCTGCATCCCTGTTGTTTTCTTTTGTTTGACTAATATTTTAGATATTTCTTTTTTCGATTTAACTTTGTGGGTCGGGATCAAAATTTACTCACTTTTATTTCTATCAAATTCGTGATTGTCACTGCATTTTCTCATCTTTTGTAAGGTCTTTCCTTATTTCAGTCCATTTTCGGATTCAAAATTTGGGTTCAAGAAAAAAGAGTGAAAAATTTTATGACCAGTAAGAATTTGGAGAAATTGGCATCAATTGATATTCAATTGAGGCTTATGTTATTTCCCGCTTCTTCAGTCGCTATTGTTGACTCTCCTCTTGACAAGAAATGTCAAGGTCGGGGTTTGATTGTTTTTACATATGTTTAATTTATGTTTTATTTTTATAATAAAGTGTGTGCATATGTGTTTTGGTTATTTGACCTCTGAATTAAGTGGAGTTTGGTCAAGAACCTGATTTAATGTATAAGTCTTTATGTACTTCTAAGACAGTGAAAACGAGGGTTTTTTATGAAACATTTTTTCTTTTATACAAATGTACGTAATAAAATTTTATAATACAATTTTCCATCTAATTTTAACATTCAAGACGCTAATATTACCTTAAAAATACCACAACCCGTGCATTGCACGGGTGTAAAACTAGTTTTATTAAAAGTTTCTAAACATTGTAGAAATGTAGAAAAATCTTTATAGTGTCGATATTCCATGGGGCCTACAATACATTCGGATTATAAACTTTTTGACATTCAGTCTTCTTGAAAATCCTACAAAATTTTAAATTTTCTAATAATATCAAATCTTGTCGCAACTCTATCTTTGTATTACTTAGAACTCTGTC